TCTTACAATACTGATCAAAGGTATAGGTTTTTACAATACAGATCAAAGGTATAGGTTCTTACAATACAGATCAAAGGTATGGGTTTGGGGACATTATTATTATTATTTTAAATTTTCCTTTCACCCAAAAGAAACTCAACAAAGATGCAGAAGATCTAAACTATACAATCAGCTCACTTGAACTTGTGGTTGTATTCAGGATAGTGCATCCAGCTAAAATTCAGTTCACATTCTTCTCAAGTGCATGTGGTACATTCTCCAGAATCGATCACATATTAGGACCTGAAGCAAACCTCAACAAATTCAAAAACATTGAAATAATGGAAAGTAACTTCTCAGGTCACAACACTAGAAATTAACCATAGGAAGGCAAAGCTTACAAAACCACCCATGTGGAAACCAAATTGCTCTCTGTTAGGACAAAATTGGATTATAAAAGAAATAAAGAATGACATTTTAAAAACTTCCTTGAAACACATGATAATGAAAATACAACTTACCAAAACCTCTGGGACACAGCTTAGGCATTCCTCAGGGAGCAGTTTGTAACAATAGGCACACCCAAGAAAGGAAGAAAAAAGAAAAATCAACAATCTAATTCAACTCCTTCATAAAACAGAAAAAGAAAAGTAATCAGTGGTATTCCTCTTCAGAAACAAAGTAGAACTCAGAGAAGAAAATCAAGAAAGCAATACCATTTACAGTAGCCAACCATAAGTTGAGATACTTGTGAGTGAATCTAACTAGAGACACAGAAGACCTACAAAAACAAAACTACAGAACCATTCTGATAAACACAATAAAAGACCTAAATAAAAGGGAAAATGTTTCTTGTTTATGGATGTTGTTGTTATTAGGTGCCATCAAGCCAAGCATGACTCATACTGACCCCATGAACAAAAAATCTCAACCTTGTTCTATCCTGCACCATCCTCATACTTCCTGACATACAACAGTCCTGTTGCAACAGTCACCATATAAATCCACCTGGTTGAAGGTCTTCCTCTCCCTCTCTGACCCTCCAAGATTTTGAAAATGACAGTCCTACCAAAAGCAATCTACGTGTTTAACACAATCCCAGTGCAGATACAAAATTTTTTTTTCAAGGAGATCAAAAGAGAAATTGTCAAGTTTATTTGGAGAAGAAAGAGACTCCAAATAAGCAAGGCACCTCTGAGAAACAAAAATGAAATGGGAGACATATCACTCCTTGACCTCAAAACCTACTACACTGCAGTAGTAATCAAAACAGCATGATACTGTTACAATGACAATAGACCAATGGAACGTAATTGAAACCCAGAAAAGGATCCAGCTATCTATGGTTTACTGATATTTGACAAAGAATTAAAATCTATCACATGTGGAAATGACAACCTCTTCAGCAAATGGTGCTGGCAAAACTAGACTGCTTCCTGCAGAAAGCTATCTCACACCAACACTAATATCAACTCAAGGTGAATCAGAGACCTGGAAGTAAAAGTCCAAAGCCATAAAGTTCATCAGAGACAAACTTGGATCAAGCTAAGATGGCCTAGTCTAAAGAGTAAATAGTACAAAGAGACTGCCAAATCCAGGCAGAAATGCATGATCTGGAGATAATAAAATTGATGAATGGGACCTTTTAAAGACTGAATCCCTGTTTGCATCAAAAACTTTTTCCAATAGAGTGAAAAAAAATCTTATTGACTGGGAAAAAAAACATTTGGCAACACCATTTCAAACAAAGGTCGTTGCCATTCACCGATGGAACCTGAGGACATGGTGCTGCTGAGGAAAAAAACACACAGAGAGACAAAGAAAAAGTGAAAGCGAAGCCCAGGGGTCTTGGGCAAGAGCCAAAAAGTGCCGAGTTTTCTTTTTCTCAGCATATATAGAAAACACAAGCATTCCATTACTATCAAAATAACAAGACTTCTTGCTATACCGCCAGCAATTATCTCAAAGACCCTAAAGTAACACACCTAACAATTATCTCTGGAGCTGGAAGGTGTCTATGGGCATTCTGGAACTAAGGCTTTTAATGATTTACTCAGAAAGCTCAACAAAGACACAAAATGTTTATCTCTATTTTCTGCAAATTCTCAAGGACAATAGCTTCTCGTTAATCTGTATTTTCTACAAGCTCTCAAGGACTTTAGTTTATCATTAATAAAACCTTCACAGCTGCTCTTCTGCATCTTATGGGGTCTCATGGAAGCACCCTGTTTTTCTTGGGGACACACCTATGTGCTTGCCTAGTAAGATGTTTTCAGCTAGCTTCTTGGTGAGTGGTTTCAAAGTGGTACTCTAAACTTATATGCAGACAGTCAATCAAGGCACAGTGGCTTTCTAAAACTCTCATAAAGGGTCTAGTATCAAAAGTTTACAGAATCCTACGGGCCTCCATAAGAAAAAGCCTGGTAACACAATTACAAAAATGGGCTTTCGACATGGAAAGACTTCACAAAAGAAGATATTCAGATGGCTAACAGACAAGTGAAGAAATGCTCCAAATCATTGGCAATAAGAGAGATAGAAATCAAAACCACAATGAGATATCATCACACTCCAGTAGTAGTGGCAAAGTTTAACAGGACAGCAATTAAGAAATGATAGAGAGGATATGGAGAGATACGAATTATACACTGTTGGTGGTATTGTAAAATGGTACAAACACTCTGGAAGACAGTTTGGCATTTCCTCAAAAAGGTGAACACAGAAATTGCAATGACCCAACTATTCCCACTGCTTGGAATATACCCTGGGAAAATGAGAACTGAGGCCCAAATGGAGACTTGTACACCAATGTTCATAGCAGAGTTATTCACCGTTGTCAGAACATGGAAATAGCCCAAATATCAAACCATAATCAAATGGATTGAGAAATTATGGTACATTCACACCAAGGAAAACTATGCAGCATGCAGGAACAATGATTTTGTAAGTCACTATCTAATTTAGGAGGGACTGGAGAGCATTATGCTAAATGAACTAACTCAGCTCCATAACGACAAATACTGTTTAAGACCATTATTTTAGACCATTAATGAGGATCCAGTGGGGAGGGGTGAGATCAGATGGGTAAGGATGGGTGATGGCAGTAGGGAAGGGATTAATTATCGCGTAGCACAATTTAATGGGTGGAGGGAGAAGTGGATAAAGGAAATGGGAAAGATCCCGTGTGAAAAGCAATGTATATGAACTTTGTAAGTGAACTAGTTTAAAGCAAAAATTTTATTTGTTTATTTTTTTTAATCAACCTTTCAAAGCCATTAGCCATTCTGTGGAAGAAAAAGGAGAAGTCTGCTTCCACAGGATTGGAAAGCCTGTGGGAGGGTTCTCTTTACTACAAGGTTGCTCTGAGTTGGTAACAATTTGATTACAGTGACTCTGGCTTGAGCTTGGGGTGAAAATGCAAATTCTAGCAGTAGGGCAAAGTGGAATGGACTGATTTGAGGCCCTGTTTATCAAACCAGGAGCTCCTCAGAGGACATAACCATGTGCCCATTCCTGCCCCATCGCTAAGCCATCAAAGCTGGCCTCCCTGGTGGCTTTCACAGCTTCTCAAGAGCTGACCTCTGAGGATGCAGATCCAAGATCAGGGTCTTCAGCTGGCCTAAGATACTGGGAAGGACAAAGGCTTTTGAACCAGAGAAATTCGGTTTCAAATCTTGTTCTGCTCTTCCTACTTGTGTGATCTTTATTAACCTGAGCCTCAGTTTCCCTGAACCTTAAAATAAGGTGCTCACATCTTGTTGTGAATAGATTACATGAAATAATTGCTGGGATTTAGCACTGTGTCAAGGGAGCTGTGGTGGCTAGTAAGAAGATGCACTGAAATCCCGAAAGGCACGTGGTTCGAATCCCCAACTGCTCCATAGGAGAAGGACAGGCAATGTCCTCCTGTGTGATTAACTGTGTCTGAAAATCCACTGGAGGGTCAGCTGTGTGTTGGTTCTGACTTCAGGGCACACACCACCACCAACAAGAAGCACTTGCTGCTCTTTCTCTTGGGCTTGGATCAAGCGGCAGCCAGGTTCTACCGCTCAGCCATGGCCAAAATCAAGGCTCAGGACCTTCGCAGCAAGAAGAAGGAGGAGCTGTTAAAACAGCTGGACGATCTGAAAGTGAAGCGTTCCCAGCTGTGCGTCGCCAAAGTGACAGGCGGTGCAGCTTCTAAGCTCTCCAAAATCCGAGTTGTCCGAAAATCCATTGCCCGTGTTCTCACTGTTATTAACCAGACTCAGAAGGAGAACCTCAGAAAATACTATAAGGGCAAGAAATACAAACCCCTGGATCTGCGGCCCAAGAAAACACGTGCCATGAGCCGAAGTCTCAACAAGCATGAGGAGAACCTGAAGACCAAGAAGCAGCAGCGAAAAGAACGCCTGTACCCCCTGCGGAAATATGCAGTCAAGGCCAGAACTTCTTAAATAAATAAAACACAAAACTAAAAAAAAAAAGAAGAAGAAGCTCTTGCTGTCCTGCTAAACTTTTTCACTGCTACTGGGGTGAGACAGTACCTCATTGTGGCTTTTATTTTCATCTCTCTTATTACCAGTGATTTTGAAAAATACGACATAACTTAGGAAAGAATGTACAACATTATTCTGAGTGAACTAACTCAGTCTCATAAGGACAAATACTGCTTAGGATCATTACTGTAAAAATGGAAGGATAACTAGTAAAACGTGTATAGAGGTCCAAGACAAGGAGTGGGAGCAGAGGGGTGAGGATGGGTAGGGGAAAATCATAGGATTGCACAATTTGATGGTTGGAGGGAGGGGGTAAAAGAAATGGAAAAGACTCAGTGGGGACCTGAAGAGACAGAATAAGATGGGCATAGTCCAACAGTGATTAATTTTATAAAACACAATTTTCCAAATGACTGTATGAAACATATGTAATGAAAGAAGATGTGGGGGGAAATCTGAATAAAAAATAAATTTATAAGAAAAAGAGATAACAACAATAAAAGCAGTGCTGTGTCAACGGAGCTCTGGTGGCACAGTCTGTAGGGAGCTGTGCTACTAAAACCAAAAGCTGTGTCTCTTTGTTGGTTCGAATCTACCAGCAGCTTCTCAGGAGAATGGACAATCTCTTGTGTGCTTTGCAGTCTCCAAAAATCCACTGGAGATCAGCTATCAGCCAGTTCTGACTGGAGGGTAATGGATTTGAGTTTGGGGTTTGGAGGTGGTTCATTGTGAGCACTGTGTCTAGTAAGACGCTTGACAAATAAATGTTCATTCCCTTCCTCATTTCTATTGTGCCAGCAAACCCGGGGGACAGGCACTCACACCCCCCTACGGTGCTGTCTGGGCACTAAGACCTTTCACAGATCCTTGACTCTTCTGTCAGATGGAAGGTGGGGTGGGATGGCGTGAGCACTCGTTATTTGATTAAACAGCCTTGACCTGCTAAGTGCTCTCTGCACACCTTGCGTCTCTCCTGGTTATCATGGAGCTTGCCATCAGCAAGGTCGTCCAGGCTTATTCTGAGTGGATCACACCAGCAATTTGCTGTGATGGATAGAGTGCCTCCAACTGCCTGTGTAGTTGTGGTGAGCGGGCGCAGCCAGGCAGCGACTGTGCTTCGGAAAGTCAGACTTTCAGGGAACCCGGCGCTGCCTAAGCCACAGCCTTTCCAAAATTAGACCTTTCCTCCACTCCATCATTACATGGTAAGCAGTCAGAACACTTCCTGAATACAAACCACAGAGCAGAAGTGATTTATGGAAACAACCAAGTGTGTGTGGACGGGAGACGGAGGGCGGCCCCAGCCCTCGGCCTCTGCACAGCTGTGCTCCTGACCCTGCCTCAGCTTCTAGCAGAACCACTTCTCCTACAGGACAGCGAAGGTCTCCCACGGAAGAGAAATGGAGGATTTTTCAGTTCAAACACCCCCATTTGTGTTACCTATTAAGCAATAAGATATCAGGGATTCCCCCCCCTTAAAGACACTGGGCCTACCTTGGGGCCTGGACATCTCTATTTTTAACAAGTGCTTTACAGCAATTTTTCTCTAACTTTGCTGCACTTGTTGTTCAATCACCTGTTGTTGTTGTTCTTGTTGTACCATTGAGTCAGAACCAGCTCATAGCTGGCCTGTATGCACCAAGTTTTCAGAGGCAGTTAATTGATACCTGTGGAGCAGGTAGATTCAAACCTCATGCCTTTGAGATTGGAGGGCAACTTCTTACCATTAGGTCACCAGAGCTCCCTAGAATCTGCTGGAGAGTTTGAACTCTTTCAGTGCCCTGTGACATCCCTGCATCGGGGCTTTCTGAAGAGTTCCTCTTGTAATTTACTGCTGTGAAGTTGGCTTCATCTCATGGTGGCCTCCTGTACAATAAAGAAAACATTGGCCCTTCCCGAGCTGTTGTCATGATCTCTGGCACGCTCTTAGCTGTGTGGCCTGTGCTGCAGACACTTCTAACGTTTGCAGCACCTCCTCTAGCACTAAGCCGGATGGTAGTGCTAACTCTGCTGTGGTGCTCTGTTGTGAAGGGTGCCAGGTGACCCAGCATGAAGCCAAACTTGAGAACCAGAGCTCAGATAATCTATGAGACCAGGCAAAAGCCTATAAAAGGAGACCCAGGTGACTCTTCTACTAGGAGTCAGGAACTGAGAAACCGCTGGAGTTTTAGCCAGATAAAATAGGGTGAAGGACGTTTTTTGAAGCAATTGTTCTGAAACATGTTTGGCTATTAGTAACTTCTGTTATTTCTATTTCTAATGCTGTTGGCACAACCTTGATTGCCAAAATTGAGGAGGGCTTGAAGCACTTGCAGCAGAAGGTCAAGAGCTGTAGTCTTCAATATGAATTGCAGCTCAACATCAAGAAGACAAAGGTTCTCACCCCTGGATAATTCAATAGTATCATAACAGAGGAGAAGAGATTGAGGTTGTTAACAATTTCATCTTGCTCAGATCCACAATCAACACTCTTGGCACCAGCATTCAGGAAATCAAAACACAAATTGCATTAGGGAAATGCGCTGTCAGAGACCTTTCCAGAGTGCTAAAGAGCAATGATGTCAGTCTAGAGACTAAGATGTATCTGATCCAAGACATGGTGTTCACAATTACTTGCTATGTACCAGAAAGCTGGACACTGGCGAGAGTGACAGAAGAAGAATCATGAGTTGTGGTGCTAGGCAAGAGTATTGAACATACCATGGACTGGACAGAGAACAAACATGTCTGTCCTGGACAGGGTGAAACCAGGCTGTTCCTCGGAGGCAAGGATTTTGAAGCTCCATCTCACACACTTTGGGCCTGTTGCCAGGTGTGGCCAGACCTTGGAGAGGGACATAATACTTGGGAGGGTAGAGGGACAGTGCAGGGAAGGAAGATCCGAATGAGTTGGATTGACTCAGTGACTGTGGTAATGGGTTTAGGTGTGTTGGAGACAATGAGACTGGCTCAGGATAGGGCATAGTCCAGAGTTATTATGCATAGGGTCTCTATGAGTCCCAAGTGACTAAACAGCACATAAAACAACAGTGACAGTGTTGCTGGGCAGACCACAACTCAGACCCACTAACCTTCTCTTGTAAAGGTCCGCAGGGTATTGGGATGCTCCACAAGCCTTCTTCCAGAGGATTCATGAAGTCCTAATGTTTCACTTTAGGATTTACGAGTGTTTGAGGTCTGCTGCAAGGACATCTCATGGTGATTTTGGGTTTGTTTATATTTACATATATATATATACACACACACACACACACACAATTTTTTTTTTCCTTTGGCTGGTGAATTTGGCTGATGTCTCACTAATGACGGGATACTTTAATGTCATGCTCTAAATTTACACCTTGATATTCCTTTAACTCATAAGCCCTCAAAGAGAGAAGTGTGGTAAGGTGAAGGAATCATTGATGTAGATTTTCCTTCTTGGTTTCACTTCCAGCCACAGCTCCCAGTCACTTTCCAGTCACCAGGCGGTCAGCAGCTCTGCGAAGCCCTTGAGGCGAGTCCTGGGGACTGGACATCTCAGCCTTCCTATGGGGCTCCCCCTGGCGACAGCGCGTGAAATAATTCCTGATTAGAAAGGAGCCCCAGGCCAAGGGCTTTTGTGCTGTTTCCTGCAGTGAACCTGTGTGTCAGGCCTGGGTTTCTCTCATTGCTGGCGTCCCAGAGACAAGGATTTCTCAGCAAGTCTCAGAGTTTTATTTTCAATCCTGCCAAGGGAAGATTAAATGGCTACATGAATGGGGAAATTCAGGAGGCTTTGAAACAGATGGTTGGCTGTACAGGCTCAGAGACTTGCCAAGCACGGGATTGTGTTGCCCTAAGAATGAAAAATCCCTCTGTGGCCTGGTCTTTATTCCTCCAGCCTTTAGACGACAGCGGCTTCGGGTCCCTCTGGCAGTGGGGCCTGCTGCAGTTACCTGCTATTATTCACCTCCCTTCGGGGTTCGGCTTCTGGCCTCTCTGGATTTTCCTGGTGACTTTCTCTGAAAAGGAGTGTCATTCTAGACTAATTTCCTGATGGTGTAAATGATTTAGCGGAGCTGATGAATATCAATAGAGCTGCAGATGGGTCTAAGCCTCCTAATGGATGTGACCAGCGCCAGTGCCAAATATTTTTCCAACTCACATTGAGGATGAAAACAAGCTTGAATAGTTCCCACAAAGGGTACTTCTTTAATTATGCATTATAAATTTTAAAAACACTAGACAGAAGTGTCAGTAAATGATGGCACAGATGAGACTCCTGTAGACTGTCCCACGTGCTGTAACCACAGAAGACAGAGAGAGTTGGGTTCGAATCTCAGCTCTGTCACTCATAAACTGCATGAATTTGGACACAGATATAATTTCTCAAAGCTTGATTTTTAAATGTAGCTAATCCTTGCCCTTGGGCACTTTAAAAGTAAAGAACATGCAAAAAATTCATAACTCAACAATTATTAACTATTCCCATCACTGAATGGTACAAATAGTTAATAAGCTCCATGCTAACCTCAACATGGAAGATTTGAGTCCACATAGATGCAGCTTGGATAAGGCAATCTGCTTCTAAAACATTCAGCATTGGAAACTCCAGGGAGCACAGTTTTCTGGAGGCCACGGTATTGCAGGAACTCCATGGCACTAGAAGTGGGATCCCGAGGACCTAGGGATTCTTGAGGGAGTTTGGATGGTGTAAAAAGCAAGGAGTTGTGCAGCTAATGCAAAGGTCACACTTCCCTGGGGAATCCACCAGTAGCTCCGCAGGAGACAAATAAACAACTTCCTCCCAGGAGATTTACAGGAATCTAGTGGGAGGACAGCCATGAGTTCCAACTCCGTAACAATGTTGCTATTTTTGTTGTTAGACACCATTGAGGCAACTATGACTCATAGCGACCCTGTGAATAATGAATCTGAACCTGGTCCTATCCTGTGCCATCCTCATCATCTTTAATAGACTTGATCCATTGATATAACCACTGCGTCAATCCAGCTTGTGCAGATCTTCCTCCCTTACACTGATTCTCCACCTTCCCAAGAACGACGCCTGTTTCCCAGGTCTGGCCTCCCTTAACAGTACACTCAAAGTATGTGAGATAGTTTCATCATCTTGGCCTCTAAGGAGCACTCTAGTTGCATCTTCTCTGAGACAGATTTGTTTGTTATTTTGATAGTACATGGGATATCCGGTACTCTTCTTCAACACCACAACTCAAAGATATTGGTTCTTCTTCTGTCATCCTTGGTCATTGTCCGACTTTCGGATACATAGCAAATAATTGCATGCCATCCTTGCACATCCTTGCTAATCTTCTCCATATCATTCCAATTTTTTTTTTTGGCATATGTGCTGCTGAAGCAAGCACCCTTTAAACTTACATTGTTGCTCCTAAGCACTTTGGAGAGGTCCTTGACAGCAGATTTTCCAAATGTGCACATCTTTTGAATTCTTGACTGTTGTTACAAAGGATGTTGACTGTGGGTCAAAGTAAAAAGAAATCTAAGTTGTCAGCAAAAGACAAGGGAGGAAGAAAAGACCAAACTGGCTGTCAGAAAAGACTGAAAAACACACTAGATTGTCAAGAGGCAAAAAGAAAAAAAAGAGGGGGGAGAATGACAAAATAAAAGGACTGAACAAAGTGCAGCTTGGAAAGACAAAACAAAGTGTTAGAACATAGAATGTGCAAAGAGCGGGAATAGAAGAATAAAAAGGGAAGAACTCGCTTGACATTTCTCACGCCAAAAGAGCTTCAAGATTGCAACACTTAAGGATGCTAAGGGCAAAATCCTGAATGATCCAAAAGCACCAAAATAAGATGGAAATAATATGCACAGTCACTTTGAAAAGAACTGACTGCCACAGAATCCATTTAACAGTGTAAAAGGAGCAAGACCACGTAGGGGCAGCCTATCTGCTCTTTACCAACCTCACAAAGGGGAACTGTCCTTGTCAACATCAACAACACAAAACCAATCCCCATGAGGTCAGACATGTTCCTCACACTCCTGAGCCTCTTTCTACTCATCCACATGCCAATCTTACTGCTTTACTGGGTCCAAAATCCAATGGTTCACAAACCACACTGGGGAACCATACTGGGGAAATCAAAAGGTTAAAATTCAAATTAGTAGCAGAGTACAGTCAGGACAGCTTGCAAAATGTTGCTCAAGACAGCTTCTGAAATATGTTCTTAGATACCTCAGCCCTGAGTCTCCTGTTTTTAGGCTGTCTCAGCCCTGCCAATATTGGCCCACCCAAAACAGTCCTCCAACAAACTTGGGCAAAAGGCTCTAAGCTCTGGTTCCTTGGTGTTTCAGTCCTAAGGTCCACTCCATCCATGTCATGTCTGGCTCTGTGCTGTGGTTGCTGTGGCTGTTACTCCCTTAGGCCTTTAGTTGGAGCAAAAATCTCTGGTCCTGAAGGGTGAGTTGCATTCTCTTGCTTCTCTGTTTTCAGTGATGGAAGTCTCTCTTACTGTTGCTACTAAATGCATTCAATTTGATGGCAAGTCTAGCCAAACCCCTTCTGGATTGGTGTGACTAGCCAAACCCCTTGTTGACTGGTGAGACTGGCCAATCATCACGTGTTCTGTTTGCATATTCCTGACCATCCACATGGTAAAGTCAAATTCAATGGCTAGAAAAGCCATTTTGAATACTAAACCTTCCACACCATAGAAAGTGGCATATGATCAAGAACCAATGTAATAAAGGAAGAAATCTAAGCTGCACTGGAGATACTGGTAAAAAACAAGGTCCCAGGATTGATGGTATACCAACTGAAATGTTTTAATTAACAGAGGCAGCCCTGGATGTGCTCACTAGTCTGTGCCAAGAAATATGGAAAACAGCACCCGGGCATCTGACCAATTGGCTGGAAGAGATTTCTATTTGCTCCCATTAACAAGAAAAGGTGATGCAACAGAATGTGGAAATTATTGAGCAATATTATTAATATTACACATAAGTAAAATCTTGCTAAAGATTGTTTTTAAATGAGTAGAACAATATATAAACAGAGAACTTTCAGAAATTCCATCTGGATTTAGAAGAGGCTGTCACCGGGAATATCATTGTTCATGTCAGATGTGTCCTGACTAAAAGAAGAGAATACAGTGAGGAAGGGCAGGTGCAGGGGGATGAGAATCCCAGGACATTTAATTGTTCTCATGTGAAACCTGTATCAAAACCAAGAATCTGTTGTCCCAATAGAGAAAGGGAATACTGCATGGTTTAATATCAAGAAAGATGTGTGGCAGGCTGTATACTTTCTCCATGGGAATGAGAGGGAAGGAATCCATGTCAACTCCACAACAATGAGTTTGTTTGTTTGACTGATTGATTGATGATTGATTGATTGATTGATTAGCATCTCAGAGAATTATCAGATCATGGGAACAGTGGAACCAGTGCTGTGCCAAGGGCAAGAAGCAGGGAACCCACCTCCAAGTGAATGAATAGGAGGTATATTGTTTGTCAAATGTAAACAGCATGACACAACCTACTAAAAGCTGGCATGGTTTTTATTATCAACGTGCAGCAACAATTCTGAATGTGGGTGATGAGATTACTTTCTGTCTTAACATATTTTGTTGGTCTAAAGAATCACAGAAGCCAAGCAAAATTATCCATCAAATATGAAGGACAGATCAAGATATTCCCAGAAAAGCAAAACCTAAGAGAGTTTGTGAAAACAAGACAAGCACTGCAGGAGAAACTCAGAGATGTCCTTCTTACAGATATACCACAGAAAGCTCCACGGTCTAAAGTAACTAGCAACAACACCAAAAAGAACTCAACACAATGATAGCAATAAAACCTAACCTTTCAATAGTCACACTGAA